CATGCCTCGAAACATGACGAATTCAGATAACGACGTGAATGGGGATTCCAGTGGAATCACCTCGTCCGGTAGGGTGAATCAGGTTCTACTGGTGATACCTGACCATCATCTGGCTTCTGTAGAATAAGTAAATGGTAGAAACAACCTGAAGATTGGTACATGGAATGTCAAAACACTCGTACAAAACGGAAAGTTGCATAACATTAAGATGGAAATGAAGAGAATGAACGTCAACATATTAGGAATTAGTGAAATGCGGTGGCCAGGAGCAGAGGAAAAGTATTCAGATTAGCGCATAATTATTTACTCAGGCGGGAAGGAATATAGTAAGTAAAGGAGTTGGTAACATTTTGGATCCAAATAACTCAAAAACTGTGAAAGGATTTTGGATTATATCAAATAAAGTTCTATTAGTAAAACTTAACGGTGGACCGTTTGACATCAACTTAGAACAGATTTATGCCCCAACAGCAGATAATTCAGAGGAAGATAATGACGAGTTAGACATGGCTGTTGATCAATGCAAAAATTGTGAAGTAACAATAGTGCTTGGAGATTTTGAAGCAAAAATAGGAAGTGAAAAAGTGTACCGAATAAGGAATGGCTATGGCCTAGGAGAAAAGAATGTAAGAGGTGACAGATTAATAGCATGGGCTGAGTCGCACAGCATGTTAATAGGTAACACCTGGTTTAAACACCATCCTCGAAGATTGTGGACTTGGAAAAAGTACTGGAGATTTTGTTCGCAATCAGATTGATTATATTTTGATTTCAAGAAGAGAGCAGCTTAGTTGGAGCAAAAACTAGATCAGGAGCAGACTGCTTTAGTTCCAGTTCCAGTTATTCAATCAGTTCAAAGATGTCAAGAATCTTCTTGCGCTGCCTTCCTGTTTTTCTTTCCAGTGGTCACAACATGTTCCAATTTCCCACTTCTCATAACATGATGTTTGTGATAAGTTGTCATCCAGCACTCACCTATTTCATAACATAACAATAGCTCAGTTAAATCTGATCAAAAGATCTCATAACAAGTTTTTTTTGGGTCTATCCACACACAAAAATCCATGTTAGGAAATAAATCTTGTAGCCTTGTGGATTTCGTAGACAGTTCAAAACTCTGCTGAATAATAAATGTTAAGAGAACCAAACAACACTATTAATAACAAAAATATTTTATTTTAATCATATTTCAAAAGAAACGTTGACACAACATGCAAATAAAAAAAACCAACATAATGATGCATGAAGCTTTGTTCAATTACAACAGTTTTATGTTGAGGCAGGGAACAGACGAGAATTTGGTGAAAACAGGGAGGGAGGTGTCACGCTGGTGGATCTTTTTTTTTAAACTGAAAAGGGGAACTGTGGAAATAAAACAATACTTGGGAACCTACGCACTAGAGTAACAGTAGCTAAAATCAGCCAACCAAGATGATCGCTGTCAATCAGAAATCAAATAGCAAGCCAACTGAAAAGGAAAGGGGGGTGGGGGAAGAAAGGAAATATATAACAAAAGAGAATGGATTAAATATCATGGAAACAAATGCACAAGTCCACAAAAGACAGTGGACAAGACATCTTATCGAAATGAAAAAAGTGAGAAATCATAGATTTTGGACACATTAAAATGACATTTATCAACCACACTGCAGTATGAGGCAAATGGTTCAACAATAAGAAATGGAGGCCAGGGGCTACTTTATTTTCTGTCAGCAGACGCACACTGCCATCTACTGGAAGAGACTGAGGCCTTATACATCAACTCTGAGAGTACAAGAGGGGGGAAAAAATTACAAGGATGAAGAATTGTTGAATGTCTATCATTTGCACACACCATTCAACATATACGATATCCTGTTTATGTCACACATATATTTAGTGGTTTTCCAAGTTTCAATGAACAACATTGCGATTCAAATATGTAGCTTACTATATTTAATATTACAAAAGTTACACACATAAGAATGTGTGTACCATTCAGTGGTCGAACCTGCAAGTGTAGTTAGTAACACAATACAGTCCTTAAGTTACCCATGGCCCTTAATGATCTCTGTTTATCACCTGGTGCGCTAGATTAGTTGGTTAAAACACTATGCATGTGACAAACTCCTTGTGGTCTGGGTTCATGCCCTGGGGTAGGCAGAAAAGCCATATATCTACCAGAATTATGCTATCATGGAATCAAGACCAAAGGGTAGCAATATCCATAGTACCGGGCCAAAGGGTTTATAACTCATGGTTTCTGGATATGAAAAAAAATATATATCTGTTTATCAGCGCTGTCAAGACACCGATGCTCAGTGCAACAACTGGCACCTGCAGACTCCACACAGACTGTTTTAATGGTTCTTCTAGTCCAGGAGCAAGGAGGGACTACTTGATGCAGTAGACATAGGGGGAATATTACAAGCTACTACCTGTGTGAATTACACAGGTATTTGAACACATGGGTAGACTTTGTCAAGCTCTGCCTATGCTAAGATATAAAGAGGTGTGAAAGCAAGGCATGAATTATACAGGTATTCAAATACATGATGGATAGAATTTGTCAAACTCTGCCTCTGCTGGACATAAAGAGGTGTGCAAGCATGGCATGAATTATACAGGTATTCAAATACATGATGGATAGAATTTGTCAAACTCTGCCTCTGCTGGACAGAAAAAAGTGTGCAAGCATGGCATGAATTATACAGGTATTCAAATACATGATGGATAGGATTTGTCAAACTCTGCCTCTGCTGGACAGAAAAAAGTGTGCAAGCAAGGCATGAATTATACAGGTATTCAAATACATGATGGGTAGAATTTGTCAAACTCTGCTGGACAGAAAAAAGTGTGCAAGCATGGCATGAATTATACAGGTATTAAGGTAGATTCAGGTAACAGGATGCCATGAACTGTGGAAAAGCAGGAAGTGAAAAGGGATAACAGAGAAACTGACTGCAGAAAGATTAGGAGCTGAGCGTTTGAGAAGGTAGCCCATTAAAAACATGTGAAAGCAACAATGTTTCTAAAATACCATGCTCTTACAGAGGAAGACTTTTCTTGGCGAGCAGATCTTGCTGGTGACACTTCTCATTGGCTGTGATTCACATAGCCAGGTTCTGGGAGCTTTGTAATCTATTCTATGTGTGGTCTGTGCCATGATATTTCTTCCACAGTTCGACAGAGACTTACAGCCAGTCCCTTGTATCCATCTCCACTATTTTATTTTGTCTATAAATTATTCTCCTAGAGATTACATAGAACCCATGGCTACCAATATCAAGAAATAAGGACATAAACATTTTGGGGACACAAACAATATACTGACTAGCATATTTAAAATCTCCAGTAAATTGAGGGTGTAATTATTTAAACCTACAACAGGAAAACATTATTTTGAACACAATTGCATGACATGGAAGCAAAGCACGGTGAAGCATGTCTTTGCCGCCGTCGAGATAGGAGACATTATTACCAACCTCTCATGGAAGCAATTAGTAGAAATACCTTGGAGTGGCGGCTGCATCGGAGGACTGAGCATGCTAGGGAATGCCTAATGTGCAGTGACATTGATCGTGATAACATTATTTTAAACCACCAATACAGTTGCTAGAGAGCTAAATCACCAATACAGTTGCTATAAAGTTGAAACTGCCAAAAGACAGTAAAACCTTGTTAACATAAATTAAAAGTGACTGAAAAATCCAGACTCTGTGCTAATCGGGGGACTAACAGAAGTATTATAAATAGTACATCATGGCTGGGACTACAATTTTGTTCATGTTAGCTGAGTGATTGTCTGGGGAAAAAAAGTTTGTGTTAATAAGGTTATACTGTAGTTGCACATCCTTTACAGGATGCCCCAAATCAACCGCAGGTTTAACTGGCTGTTGGGCAGTTTAAAATGATAATTTTATGCTCAGTAGTTCTCCTTCCAATGCCACAATAAATGGCAGATTTTACTAGCTGTTGGGCAGTTTAAAATGATAATTTTATGTTCAGAAGTTCCCCTTCCAATGCCCCAAATGAACTGCAGATTTTACTGGCTGTTGGGCAGTTTAAAATGATAATTTTATGCTCAGTGGTTCCCCTTCCAATGCCACAAATAAACCGCAGATTTTACTGGCTATTGGGCAGTTTAAAATGATAATTTTATGCTCAGTAGTTCCCTTTTCAATGCCCCAGATGAGCTGCAGATTTTACTAGCTGTTGGGCAGTTTAAAATGATAATTTTATGCTCAGTAGTTCATGGTCATGGTAGTCGTGAAAAAAAAACAAAAGATTCCTGCCAATTTTAGTCAGCTCCTATAAATGATCAGCGACTCTATCTTGGCGTTGAAAGTTTAAACTGATAATTTTATGCTCAGTAATTTCCCTTCCAATGCCCCAAATGAACTGCAGATTTTACTGGCTGTTGGGCAGTTTAAAATGATAATTTTATGCTCAGTAATTCCCCTTCCAATGCACCCAATTGAACCGCAGATTTTACTGGCTGTTGGGCAGTATAAAAAATGATAATTTTATGCTCAGTAGTTCCCCTTCCAATGCCACAAATGAACCGCAGATTTTACTGGCTGTTGGGCAGTTTTAAATGATAATTTTATGCTCAGTAATTCCCCTTCTGATGTTACAAATGAACCACAGCTTTCACTGGCTGCTGGGCAGTTTAAACTGATAATCTTACATTCTATAGTTTGCCGTTGTTTCTGAATAATGTGCTACTCAAAAGAACATCACAAAGCAAGAAATAATGATGAAACAACTGTATCAAAATATTAAAACACACAGAACCAAAACGAGCAGGCAAAATTAAATGAAAAATGTGGTGTTCCCTCCTGTGTTGTGTTCCTTGTTACTGTTTGCTGATGAAGGTCTGTCACCACAATGTTCTTTATTTACTGTAATTTTGATTTCACTAAGCTGCCCTTTACTAACTGAACTGTTCAACTGTCTACAAACATTAGGGAGGCCTATCTTCTGGCTGTAGTTTCCTAACGACCACAGGAAACAGACGACTAATGAGTTTTCTGGTAGCTCTCATAAAAAGAATTTATAGAAGCTAGTTGTTTATCCCGTAGCATAATATGGGGACGTTTTGCTTTAATGAATTCTATAGCTTTTTGTGGAGTCCACTGGTTGTGCTGGAAAAAAAAAAGTAAATATTAAAGGAATTGTCAAACTAATAAGTAGAGAAATAAACATATGAATTCTGCAACAGTTATTATGACAATACTGGGCACAGCACATATACTAGTCAAATCACAAAATATGCACAAACACTACAGCATCATATGTGCAGCACACAAGTCTCTATTGAATATGTACATGTATGAGACAAACACTCACCTAGATGAGGCAACACCTACCTGAATGAGACCATACCCACCTGTATGAGATCACACCCACCTGTACAAGACCACACCCACCTGTACAAGACCACACCCACCTGTACAAGACCACACCCATGTGTACGAGACCACATCCACCTCTATGAGACCACACCCATCTGTATGAAACCACACCCACCTGTATGAGACCACACCCACCTGTACAAGACCACACCCACCTGTATGAAACCACACCCACCTGTATGAGACCACACCCACCTGTACAAGACCACATCCATGTGTAAAAGACCACATCCACCTGTATGAGACCACATCCACCTGTATGAAACCACACCCACCTGTATGAAACCACACCCACCTGTATGAGACCACATCCACCTATATGAAACCACACCCACCTGTATGAAACCACACAGACATGGATCAGACGGCACCCACCTGCATCACGTAACAAATAGCCACGGTTGCACTGCGGGTCCTGCCAGCCTTGCAGTGAATATACACACAGTGATTCTGTCTCTGGTGTGACTGGATGAAGTCCATAGCTTGAAGTATTTGCTCTTGTGTTGGACTCCCAATGTAGTCAGTCGTCCTTAGTTGGAGACGCTCAATACCCATGAACTTCAATTCCTGGTTTAGTTCAAGAATGCATTAATACCAGTGGTTAAAAATCAATGTGATATCACAAACTTCCTTCTGTCCTGTCTTGTAATCAATCACTTATCTCATAAAATAACCCTTGACCTAGGGTCAAGGAGATATATCAATGGAAGCACTAGCATACAAAACACGCCATCTTTCTTTGCCTTCCATATGATTAAAATCTGCATAACTTTATCCTGTAAATTTCTTGATGCTGTCATTCCAGATAATTCTTCACCCTCCTGACCAATCCCAGACCTCCTCTCATACTGTACTGACTTTAAATCAATCACATATCTCATCCAACTGACCAATCCCAGACTTTCTCTCATACTGCAATGTCTTTTTAAATCAATCTCTTTATCTTGTCCAAATGACCAATCCCAGACTTCCTCTCATACCATCCTGTCTTTTTAATCAGTATCTCATTAAACTGACCAATACCAGACTTCATCTGATACTGTCCTCTATTTAAATCAATCACTTATCTCATCCAATTGACCAATCCCAGACTTCCTCTCATTCCATCCTGTCTTTTTAATCAGTCATGTATCTCATCCAGCTGACCAATACGAGACTTCCTCTCATACTGTCCTCTATTTAAATCAATCACTTATCTCATCCAACTGACCAATCCCAGACTTCCTCTCATACCATCCTGTCTTTTAATCAATCACATATTCATCCAACTGACCAATCCCAGATTTTCTCTCATTCTCTTCTGTCTTTAAACAATTACAGAAGAAATAGGTAGTCAGGCGTTATCCTTATTTGTACTTGTCTGGAGTTTCAACCAGCACCTTGCGAAGAAAAGTCTCAAGTTATAATTGTGCCATATTAATGGCTAAAAACTGCTTGCTACCAAGTAGCCATGAAAAGGACTCCTGCTGTGTTGATGCGATACCCAGACCCAACCATCTACTTGACTGATGACTAAGTAGCCAATTGGTGGACCAATAAGCCACCCAGTCATCTGTATGCATGTCATTCTTCTACTTCTTCTTCTTAAAGTCCACGCTGTATGGCACTGGTAGTCATGTCTAGCCACTCTTCTGACTCGTTTACTTTCAATCAACTCTGAAGCATATAATCCTCCATACCTTGACGTCAAACTCTCCAGCATCTTTTCTCTTGGTCTCCCTCTGCCTCTCTTCGGTTCTGACTTTCCTTCTCATCACATGACCAAAGAATGTAGATGTCTCTTTCTGATGTAGACAATCAGTTCTTTTCGTGAGTCAGTTTCTTTCAAGACATCTTCATTACTCTTTTTATCTGTCCAGGGTATTCTTATCATTTGTCTATAAAACCACATCACAGCTTCCATATAATTTTGCTCTAATCTACCAACCATCCATAATTTATCTATATCAAGATAGGATTTATATAGCTTTTAAGAATTCTCTTTCTCGTCTCAACTGACACAGAAAGATTTCACAAAATACTCTTCATTTTGAAGAATGCTGCCTTTGCTTGAGCTATTCTACATTTAATTTCTTTAATAAATCTACCATCTGATGTATCAGGGTATCAAAATGCTTAAACATAACTTGTTTGAGGTTTGTCCCATTTACTTTGATATTGCATTTCGGAGGGTAAGTTTTCTTTGTAATTACCATTATTTCTGTTTTTCTGCTGTTAAAACTAAGACCCCTGTGTTGACTGTCTGTTACAATTACATCCTAATTTCTTGTTTCATTTATAACTATCAAAACTATATCATCAGCATCAAAGGTTGTTAACAATATGCCGACCAACTCATACTCCTGGCACACAATGAATGGATCTAGTTATTATTTCACTGTACAAACTGAATAAATCGGGTGATAGTACATATCCCTGTCTAACTGCTTGTTTGATGTTTTAAAAAGTTCCAACTTGGTTGTGAATCCTTGTGGCCGCTTCTTGTTGCCAGTGTTATGTTTTTTATTATTCTCAGATCTTCACCGTCAACGTTTAAGGTTTCCAAAAATCTTATAATTCATTCATGTTTCACTTTATCGAATTCTTTATTGTAATCAGTAAAGCACAAATACAGATTTCTATTCATTTCGATCATTCTTTCTGAAAGTGGTCTCAAGATCAATATGGCATTGTTTGTGCCTTTATCTTCAGCAAAACCCCACTTCTCTCCAATTTCCAGTTTAATTTTGCACCTTATTCTCTCATGATAATTCTCAATAACATTTAAGTTACATGACTCATTAAACTAATTGTCATCAGGTATGCGTCCACTGTTATAAATATCACTGAACGAATTTTATCAAAATTTACAAAACCAGTTCACCAACAGGTTTTAATTCTTCAGTCATGATGTGAACTGGCCATGGAGATTCAAATTTCTTCATGTGGTTTATAGTCACTTCCACTTTCAGTACTGGCTATCGTTCCCAATACTCATGACTCTCTTTGTTTCATCTGCTGTTATCATCATATAGCTCATCTATATACTCTGTCTATCTTTCAATTTCCTTCTCTTTGTCCATTAACATTTCACCTTTTTTTCTTCTTCTTTAAACAACTACTTGCTGTATATTTTCTAAAACCTGATAGTTCCCGTACTCTTTTATACGTGTCTTGTGTATTCTCTTGTTGTTATAAAATTTCTTCGCACTTATTATTCAGCCACGCTTCTTTTGCTGCATTACATTTACGTACCATCTCTCTATGTATTCTTTCATATTCATCTTGGTTGTGTTTATTTTTTCTTTTAATTTCCATCAGATGTAAAATTTCTATTTCTTATTCGCTGTCTTCTTTAATTCTGGTAATATTTCTTTTGATGTCTGTGTAATGACTCTTTTAGCATTTGCCATAGTTTGTCTATACTGCTTATCTTTTCAATAACACTGTATTTATTTTGAACAATTATAGTTCACTTACTCATTTGCACTGACAAATCTAGCACCAGATTTTGTTTTCACTGACAGCAAACTGTTTCTGAACCTTCTGTTTACAAGTATGTAATTATTTTGATAATTATTTCCAGTGCTTTTCAAAGTCCATACACAGCGTATGATTAGTTTAGGTTTAGGTTTAAACAACAGATCAACATTATGGCACAAGGGCAGTAACTCATAAGAACTCCATTCTACTTCTAACTTCTAAAGAATCTCAGCGCAGTGCACAAACTCTGTAGCACCATCTGGGATCATGAAATATTTGGGTGGATTTATAACTAGCCGTTAGGCTACTCTTTTTTATTTCCAACAGCCAAGGGATTTTTTAACGCGCACAACAATACATACGGGTGTCCGATCTTACTACCCAGAGATCAGGGTAAATTACTAAAGTCCACACGAAAAATCCCAGCCTTCACTGGGGCCTCAACCACTCGAGGCGGACGGCATGCCTCGAGACCACGCACCCTCTGTATGATTAGTACTTCCAAAAAAAGAGACAAACTTGTACAAATGTTTCAAAACAGCTCACCTCATATCTGTACAAAAGTTTAAATACAGCTCACCTCCAAGGAAAACACCATGTGCCTCAGTTCAAAGTCCTCTGTGACAGAAATCATGGCTCTGACATTTTCATTGTCAATCAACTGAAAAATAGCAACAACGGAATAACACTGTAACAGTGAAATTTAGCAATGAAAGTCAATTTTGTAACAGTGAAATATAGCGATACCCGGTTATTACGGACACAGCTGGATAATGGTAACAGTGGAATATAGCTGGTAAAAACTGTCATTGTGAAATATAGCAAAGACTGGTTAACGGTAAAATATAGCATTGACTGGTTAAAATTGTCACTGTAAAATACAGTCTCCTCACAGCACAATATAATACCGTCGCCTGGAAATATGAAAAAGTGCCAACAGGATAATACTGAAACACACTGTTGTCTGGACATGGTTTAAAGCCCATATGAACTCAAAATGTGAACAGTGCATCAATCTATTGACGGGGACAGATGCAGCATGTGTACAATTCACATTTATCAGGGAGTGTCCAGTTCGCATTTATCAGGGGGTGTACCATTCACATTTATCTGGAAGTGTCCAGTTCACATTTATCAGGGAGTGTACAGCTTACATTTATCAGGGAGCGTACAATTCACACTTATCAGTGAGTCTACAGTTCACATTTATCAGGGAGTGCCCAGTTCACATTTATCAGGGAGTCTACAGTTCACATTTATCAGGGAGTGCCCAGTTCACATTTATCAGGGAGTGCCCAGTTCACATTTATCAGGGAGTCTACAATTCACATTTATCAGGGAGTGTACAGTTCACTATCAAGGAGTATACAGATCACATTAATCAGGGAGTATACAGATCACATTAATCAGGGAGTCTACAGTTCACATGTATCAGGGAGTGCCCAGATCACATTAATCAGGGAGTATACAGATCACATTAATCAGGGATGTACAGTCAACATTTATCAGGGAGTGTACAGTACACTATCAAGGTCTGTACAGATCACATTAATCAGGGAGTGTACAGTTAAGATTTATCATGGAGTGTACAGTTCCCATTATTCAGGGAGTGTACAGTTCACATTCATCAGCGAGTGTACATATTTATCAGGGAGTTTACAGTTCACACCTTTCAGTGAATGTACAGTTCACATTCATCAGCGAGTGTACATATTTATCAGGGAGTTTACAGTTCACACCTTTCAGTGAATGTACAGTTCACATTCATCAGCGAGTGTACATATTTATCAGGGAGTTTACAGTTCACATTTATCACCAAAAGGTACAGTTCACATATATTAGGAGTGTAGCACATATGCACCTCAACAAGTGAATAAACCTTGGAGGTCATTCGTACCTGCTGCAATACACAGAATGTAGGTCAAAACAATAAAATAAATGTATTATTAGACTACAAATTCACAAAATATAACTCAAGTGTGCGAGTATGTAAAAAAAAAATGCATACCTTACGTGCAATTGATCTTATAGGCAAAGCTCCAAGGAGCACAGTTTCATCAATTCTATCGTACCAACGTCTGTTGCCGATCTTTGTCATCAAGGCATTCAGGCCCAGGGAAGGAAGGAATAAAGCTTTAGTCCACATGTCCGCTTGCAATCTTTAGTCTGTCTGGCTATGTTATGTGGTGAAACTTGTTCTTGTGTGAGCAAATTCCGCAAACAACAGTCTGTTATACTTTGCTGACTACTGGGCAATGTCACTGACGGTCATGGTCACTCCTTTCATGCTGAAAGAGGAAGAAATGGCGGGAGTGATGGAGGTCAGCTCAAACTGTGTATGCACATGTAGTATTTTCTTTTCAAGACAAAAGACCTGATGAAACAGTGACTGAATAAATAAATTGAGCTAGCATACCCAATGAAAGCACATCCACATAATTAAACATTTCAACTAAAGTCTTTATAAAGAAGCAAAACAACAAGAATATTCAACTACAGAAACCAAAATAAAATGATTCGACATGACAAAAACAATCACTTGAATTCAAGAAACAATAACTGAGCTCAGCAGCAAACAGTACTCTAGTAATAATTAACACTGATAACCACTACTAGCAATTAGTATTCTGTCATATCAAATTGGTCCATGACTGAGCACAGATGGCTCTGTGTTGAGGGGCAGACGAAGTGCATGGTGATTTATAGCGAAGGTGAATGGATGTCGCTTAGTGCAACAAAGAATGGAGGTGGAGGCAGTCACTGCTGCCTTCCCCTGGCCTGAGAATTAGCTGTACACACATGCCATGTTTGTCACTGACTCATAGAGTAAGTTGAGAAAGGTAGAGACAGGTATGCTCTGTGCAGAGTGGCAGGCATCACTTCAGAGGTCCCAGGGTAGTTATTATCCTTTGGATATTCTCTTCAGGTAACACTGGTGTGCTGGGAAATGAGCAGGCAGATAGACTGGCCGGTTCTGCAACACTTGGTGGTGAATTGATGTATGACAAGCTAGATGCTGGGAGGGCCCTCTGGAAGCAAGTGAACAGTGCGGAAGCGCAAATTGATCATTATGGTCTAAGGAGAATGGCACTGCGAGGAGTTACCAGGAGATCTAGCCGAAGCTCAACACTCAAGGGAAAGGCGAGATGAATATACAGTCAGACAGTTACTAGTGCCATCAGAATTGGAATGCTTTGTTTGCTGCTGAAAATGGGGTGTCCCGAGTGTTATGATGTATATTCTTGGGCTTTAAACCATGTCCAGACAACAGTGTGTTACAGCATTATCCTGTTGGCACTTTTCGAGGCGACAGAGTTATATTGTGCTATGAGGAGACTTGGGACTCCACAGCCCCTGAGCAATGGCGAGTGTGACTAGCAAGACTTTGATGGTGATGAAATAGCGGACAGGTTGACTTGAAGCGGCAGTGACATGGTGTAACCAAATAGTGACTTAACCCACCAAGAGAAAAATACATTAATACTATCTAGTATCCAAGAAAGGTGGCTGATACACACATCAAATTCTTTCAAGATTCGCTTCATCGCCTCTCTAGAGATGCACAGTTTAGATTAAGGACAGGGCACAACAGACTTAGTTAACATATACTCAAACTTTTTGGTGTAAGAAACACGGAGACGTGCCCCTGCAACTTGACACCCGAAAATGCTGAGCCTGTGCTTCAACACTGTCAACTGTATGCTTACATGATAGCTTTCATCAAGGCTACCGGCCTCCTGATATAAGCTTTCTGATTAAAGGATCGAAGAAGAAGAAGACATACTTCTACACTCTAGCCCTAGAACAAGCAAATCTCTGTGGTGTAGGGTGTACACACAGAGATTACAAGGTCACATATTTATGCACTCTAGCCCTAGAACAAGTGATTCCATGTGGTCTAGGATCTACGTGGAAAACACAAGAACACATATATCAACACTCTAGCCCTAGAACAAGTGATTCCATGTGGTCTAGGATCTACATGGAGAACACAAGAACACATATATCAACACTCTAGCCCTAGAACAAGTGATTCCATGTGGTCTAGGATCTACATGGAGAACACAAGAACACATATATCAACACTCTAGCCCTAGAACAAGTGATTCCATGTGGTCTAGGATCTACATGGAGAACACAAGAACACATATATCAACACTCTAGCCCTAGAACAAGTGATTCCATGTGGTCTAGGATCTACATGGAGAACACAAGAACACATAAATCCACACTCTAGCCCTAGAACAAGTGATTCCATGTGGTCTAGGATCTACATGGAGAACACATATATCCACACACTAGCCCTATAACAAGTGATTCCAGTTGGTCTAGGATCTACATGGAGAACACAAGAACACATATATCCAAACTCTAGCCATAGAACAAGCAAATCTCTGTGGTCTAGGGTCTACACAGAGAATCCAAGAACCCATATTTCTACATTCTAGCCCTAGAACAAGCAAATCTTTGTTACTGGGTCTACACAAAGAGAATACAAGAACAGATATTTCCACAATCTTGCCTAGAACAAGCAAATCTTTGTGGCCTAGGGTCAACACAGCATGAATGCAAGATCACATATTTCCACTAGTTATTTTAGTCACAATCCTCAACAATAAAAAATAATTATTTTGCCAATAATGCAGTTAGCACAGTTGGATAGGTCTCAAATAATGCAGTCCAACGCAGTCCTCATTATTCAAGTCTGTACATACATTCTAAGCCCAGATATTAATGTCTCAGGGACAGCTATACAATTAATTGTAAAATAGCATAAAATACTTTACAAAACTTTAAAAAAAAAAACAGCACAAGAAAATCACATATTGCCTTGTTTATAGGATCTAGACATTTAAAAAAAATTTTTTTTTTAAAGTTGCCATATAACATTAATTTTCATAATGGCTGTTCATTAATATAATATGAAGCAAATATCACCTTCACATTGAATGGATGTCAACTCCGGAAGAAAGCCTGGTGTTTATCCACTTCTGGACTTGGTCTTGTTCCAGGACATATGTTTCCCGTGCACATCCGATTTAAAATATGGCTTATCCATATGCAGACTGTTGCCTCCTTGCCTTTCAGGCAGATGAACTCCGACATCAAAGGAAACTTCCATAATTAGTCACCTTGTACAACATGTTTGTTAGGGAGACAGTGGGTCTATCCCCCCCCCCCCCCCCCCCCCACAAAAATGGGGCCCTGTGACCCACAAGAGAAGTAGAAGCAAACACTGTAGCTGAATGTTTGAAAAACACATGGGAACCATTAAACTTTGAGTCCCAAGGAAGGCATCATACGTTCATAGCTTCCTGCCCAGAAGCCCAATGAACGCATGATGCGCCGATTTTGACTTAATTTACTACCCCCTGGGCCTGTGATGCTAAACCTCCTGGGACTCAAAGGGTTAATGTTCCGGGAAGGAGGAATCCACAGGTCAATACTGCTGCTTTACAATTAAATTATCAGACCTAACTTATAATACAAAATGGCCACCAATTAATTTTTCAACGCATTAATTCCTGATATAGTAATACATAATTATGATAATTACATGAACCCTATGTTAGTTTTGTGCACAATGATGTGAACTGTATCTGCATTATTAAATGTCAAACCTGATTAACTGACAATAAAAAGATAAAAAGTAAAGATCCCTTTTCACGCCTTTCGGCGCATCGGGCATATGGGCAGAGCGTCCCATATTTTTACAGACCATCAGCACTCTGTGGGTAATGTGGTCAGCATTACGCCGGCTGTCTTTACTTTCCCAGGACAGTGGTTGCCAATTAATCTTTGAAGTCATTATTTTTACACACACACACACACACAAAAGTAAAGGACCCTTCTCCACGCCTTTAGGCGTATAGGGCATTTAGGGCTAGACCTATATTTCATAGACCAACGGCACAAGATGGGTGATGTGGTCAGCATCGTGTTGGCTGCCTCTACTTTCCGGGACTGCACCCGGTACCCACTCAAGGCTAGGTCAACAGGGAGCCAAGGTCATTTTTGAAGAAAAGTCCGGCTCCGCCAGGGAGCAAATCCACGGCGACTCCCTTTGAGGTCATTAATGCATCAAAATGTTTTTTTAAAAGCTGAGCTAAACTTATGAACAACATATTCTTTCATGTAGGGTAATTAGATAAACTTTACATCCAGAACTCAAGCCATCCAAGAAGTGCAAGACAAATACAGAAAACCATACTACTGGGCTACAAAATGCTGAGATGGCAAAAGAAGAATAAAGGGATAAACTTAATATCTTTAATTGCCTACCTTATAAATTCAAAGTGGTCACATAATGGGTTTTTCAAGTCACTGGCCTCCTTAAAAATTAATTAATAATGAATTGAGCAAAGCATGTGAACCTTATGTTACATAGAATATGTTCTGCTGTATGGCAGCCAATTTTAGAATGTCAGTGAACAAATTAAGAAGAATTTGGAAGCAACAGAGATGTGGTTTCTGAGACAAATATTACGAATACCTTGGACGACCAGAGTAACTAACAACGATTGTTTGAAAGAAGCTAATGAGCGACTGAGAACCTAAAGCTGATAATGAAAGTTGGGATCCATAGAAGTTGGGATATTCATGCTTTCATGCTGATTTCTTGGAGATTCCAAAGACGGCAGGAGAGTGAATGTAGATGTCAGCAACCAAATTAAACATAACTCCAAGTAGCTGACTGCTCAAGTAAGTTGTGTTGACAACCAGCATCACAGCACTTGGGACATTTCCATAAGTGCTCTAACCTGATATGCAGCAGCCAGGGCAGAGTTGGAATGCTGATGGTACAAGTAACAGTCTAACTGTATGTCCATCTTGCCTTTCCTCTGAGTGTTGAGTGTTAACCAAACCTCGGGTCCTCCTTTGCTGGACCATTTTCTGCAGATAGTTATGATCTGTTTATACTCCGAACTGTTCACTCATTTTCAAAAGGCACTGACTGTATCTAGCTTGTCATGCACCAGTTTACCACCTAGTGCTGCAGAATCAGTTAGTCTGCCAACTAGTTCATTTCTCAGCACACTAGAATGCCTTGGAGAAAATATACATTGGATGCTAACTTCATAGAACCTCTAAATGCACAGAGCATAGCTGCTTCTCCTTCTCTCTGCACGCTCTGTGAGTTACACA